TTTAAAGGTGTGAATCCTGCAATTACTTTGATTATAATCACAACCATCAGGCTACACAAACTGTTGTCAGACCAGTTTATTGATGTTTTGAAGTGCACATGAGCTAAGAAAACTGTTTGATGACAAGAAAATTAACATCTTTGTCAAACTTCAACCATATAGAAGAAAAGCATGATTCAAAAAGTTTGGAAAAATAAGAAAGCAAATTAAAATTAAATCAATGTAATGCAAGTGTCCAGTCCAATTAATACAAAATCAGCTACTAATTTACTAAAATTAGTAAATTAGTTACTCTTTGCAAAGAAAGAAGAAGTCATTAAATACCTGCAAAGGCCTGACAGAGGCCTGTGATGTAGAACAGGCTTCCTCTGGACATGGTGAACAGCTGACCCAGAAAAACCAGGAAGGAGATTGAGGAGAAGACCACAGAGAAGACCATGAGGGCCTGGATAGACTGCAGCCAGTCTGGAAGAACAAGTTAAAGGAAGAGCATGGCTCACTATGGAGCTTTGAACTGTTATGCAATAGCCAGTGATGCAGAAATGAAATTAGAGATATGAAGTATGAAGTTAGAAATACTTTCTTACCACTTTGATTGATAGCAGAACACAACCAGGCTTCTGTAGCATTGTCATACATGCAGTAATGCCAGAGGTTGGAGACTTCTGATTCTGTCCAAACCCACCAGGTCTAAAGAAAGAAAGAAATTCAAAGTATGCTCACTCACACATTAAGACAAATATGCAGAAAGGCACATGGCACAAATCTACAGCTGGTATGTTAAGAAGCACCATTTTTTTGCTCAGTGCTCTTCATGTGAAATACAGAGTAACAGCGACATCTGTTGATAGAAGAGGGTAAATTATTTAACACAATTTCCCACGTCTCACCTTCTCAAGGGTGGCAATGACAAGCATGGCCAAGGAGAGCAAATGCAGCACCACTAAGGAGATGAGTAGGAAGACCATGGCTATTCTGAGATTCGAGGACGAGCCTAGAATCGGGTGTGCAAATGACCCTGTGAAGTATGTGAGAAAGTAAAATGATTAATTATTTAAAAGATTTTATAATTAGTCAGTGAACACTCCTCTTTGTTTTCTTCTTTTATGCTATTTAAAGTGGCCCGCAGATTTCCGTGGCCTGACACACTGGACTCTTTGTCTGCTTCTGGGCAGTTTCACTGACAATCTCTGCTCATTTATCAAGGCACAGGAAGTGGATGCAGGGAAGTTGCTCCATCTCTTTAGACTCTATCCAGTCTCTGAGGGGCACATGAAAACATCTGCACTCTGTAACATCTGTAAACAAACATGCAGTATGAAACCCTTATGCTCATGATCGAACACTGTGGCTTCTACTTTTTAAAATCTGGATATAAACCTCCAGCGTTTAAATGCACAAAGCATGAAAATCATATTAACGAATAAAAAGTTTTTAACGCTTTGTCAATTGATTTTTTTGTAAACAGGCCTCTGAGTCAAAACAAAACAAAACAAAACAAGTAAAACTATTTAAATCTTTTGATAAGTCAGCAAATTTACTAAAACTTAAATCAAATGTTTCCTCTGTGTGACTAATAACTGTCACTGCGGTAACAGAAGAGAGGAAAATAAACACTTTCCTGAACGTTTGGGAAGCTCAAAGGGGAAATTACATAGTTAAGTAACAGTCTTCAGTTTCAGTAACACATCTGATTTTCATTTATTAAATGATTTTTTTTATAAAGCCTGCACACTACATTAGAAATTCTCCTTTTAAGTGATGTTTTTTTGTCTACTTTTTCAAATTAGAAATGGATAAAATGAAATTTTGAATTTGATGTGTCACCTTATGAGTCTGTAAATCGCACGTCTGTTTACATTGGCACACTTCACTGTGTCGTTACCCTGCCAGGAGTTTGCATTGGTCTGGCATTACAGGGAAATGTTGCTCTTAAATCTCAGATGATCCAGAAAGACAGCGCTAAGGTATACTGTACAAAACTCCAGCATATCTCAAGATTAACACAGAAAGTGTAACTTCATAAAAGCTCAGAGAAGTATTTTGTTAGTCTCTTTATAATCCTCCCTAACAAGTGTGAGTAAACTTCTTACCTGTTTCAAAGCGTTGGAGTCGAGAGCTCGAGAGAGATCCTCAGATACTTTTCCCTAGTGACTCCTATCCACTATCTCTGCTTTTTCGTTCCTTGCAAAGGTTTTTGCTTGAACACTTGGAGAGAAGGGCACCGAGGAGGAATGCAGAGTTAGACATAGGAGGAGTTCTCTACAGCCATTTCCTCCAAACTTTCCCTGCCCTCCCCCCAAATCTGTGGTTGGGACCAGCCCGACACACCAAAAAATAACATTCCTGTGGACCTGCGTGAACACAGAACATATTCTTTGCAGTTTCCTGCACACATCCCATCTGTACCGAAAATATGGGTCATAATAATAACAACACTGTGCTCATTAGGGGGTGTGTTGAAAAATGAAAAGGATCCCACAGCATTTGTCATGATACTGCTAGATGTGTGGGCAGCACATGATTAAATTGCTACAGACAGATTTATGTGCCAATGCTGCATTCCTGCTCATGCTGTTCATTGAGCCTTGCAGCTTGGTATGAACACCACTACATCACTTCCTACGTGAGGCGACGGAAGGACAGGAAATAAGGGCTGATTCCTGCCCACTTTTGATTGTAAATGTAGAAGAAATCTCAGACCACCCAGAATAAAACACACACCGTTTCATCCTAAATTGAATCCCAAGAGACGATAATGATTTGTCTTTAAACTCAACTTCATCAAGTGACGTCATTCACGGTAAAGGTTTACTTAATTGTCCTGCCAGGTAGTAGACTTTGTCTCACTAATGAGAGACTGTCTTCTGTGTATCTGAAGTAGTGTCAAGATTAAAAAATATCAAATACAGAAAATAGGAAGAGGCTGGATTATTTTTTACTGTTGTATTCATGTTTAGGAAGCACTTTGGTTCATTGAATTGCTGCTTATTATGCGGTTTCATTATAGCGCCACCTTAATACACATGAACTTATTAAAGACATCATAGCCCGTGAAAGTAAAATTGTAGTTTTAAAAGTACAGTACTGGGCTTGAGATTGCATTTTGCTAGGAAAATGGGATATAGGTGCCAGCATTTATTGGAATATGTGCACACATACAGCATATAAAACAAAAACAGAGTTTATACAATTCTAACAAGTTTCGTAGACAATGTTTGTTATGACCACCTTTATGCTCTCACGCAGCAGGCTTGGGTTGTGGTTCCGAGGATCTCTAGAAGTAGAATTTGAGGCAGAGCCTTCATCTCTCAGACCCCTCTACTATGGAGCCAAATCCCAGTTTGCATCCTGGAGACAGACACCCTTACTAAATTTAAGGTTAGCCTAAGCCCTAAGACAGCTGGGATAGGCTCCAGTGACCCCCCGCGACCCTGAAAAGGAAAAAGGAGAAGTGGATGGATGGATGACTTAGTTATGGTGCTATAGGCTCAGATTTCATGGAAGGTACTGAGCACTTCTTGTTCATTCACCTCTTTTCACTCCTCAGGTGTTTATATCCCACTGCAGCATGTCCTTAAATCCTTGTGTTCTCTTTCCTTCCTCTCTTTTCTATTCTTCTCTTTCCCCTTCACCCCCAATCGGTCACAGCAGATGGCTGCCCCTCCCTGAGCTTGGTGCTGCCAGAGGTTTCTTCCTATTTAAAGGGGTTTTTCCTTCACACTGTTGCTGAGCTTTTGCTCATAGAGGATCATTTGATTTTCCTCCAAATACTGTAAGGTCTTTAACATACAGTGTAAATTGCTTTGAGGCAACTTTAGGTGTAATTTGGCACTACCTAACTAAACCTGCACTGAACTGAGTTCACTGAGGCAACTTGTCATTTGTTTTAAGTCATCGTCAGGAATAGTTCTCCACACATTTTAACCCCTTAGCAGTCCTATTAGTCCCCTAAACCATCCAATGTCCCGTGGGCGGTACGTCCGACTGCTAACAGTTTAAAGGACATTTACCTTTTTTTCCATATCCAGATGATCGTGCACTGCTTCAGTGAGCTGAGGTCCAGGCACTGGGGAGGTTAATCCTTGATTGTGGTTTTTCCCTCTATCCAGGTAGGGTTTTACTGAACTGACAGGTTGTTTGGGATCATTGTCATGCTCGAAAACCAAGATCTCCAGCACCAGTGGTGGAAATACAGACCCAAACCATGACAAAGCCTCCACTGTGTTTCACGGATGGCTGTTGACGCTCACTGTTGCACCTCTCTCCTCAACTCTGTTGATACTTACAACGATTGGAACCAAAGATTTAAACTTCCATAAGACCTGCTGCCACGGTTTTCCCCAGTCCAGTTGTGTATAATATGGTACCTCATCATTTTCTCCATTTCCCTTCCATAACAATGGCTTCTTGACAGCAAACCTTCACTGTGATAGTTTCTGGTGAAGGTTTAGCGAAAATCAACTAAAAAGGGCACATATCAAGTTTGTTTTTTTAAAAAAGGAAAGACAGCACACCATGCTGAAATATTCCACTTTGACTAATAGCACTTTGTTTGCAACAATAAAGTCATTCCCAAAAACAAATCTCTCTTCCACAACAAATAACAGTCACTACAGTAACATGAGGAAAATAAACATTAATCCTTTTGTAATCTGAAGCATCCAGGAAGCTCAAATGGGAAGTGACATCATAAAGTAATACTCTTCAGTTTCAGTTCACTAATACAGCAGGAAAACATGAGTAAACTTATTATGAAACAGATTTATATTAAAAAAAAAAAAAAAAAAAAAAAAAAAAAAAAAAAAAAAAAAAAAAAAAAAAAAAAAAAAAAAAAAAAAAGCGGACGCTACATGTAACTATAGCTCTGTACATTAATGCAGCAGTGCACATTTTAATGGTCAGGAATTTTTATTGGAAATCTTCCCTCCAAAATTTTGAAATAAAAATAAATAAATAAATAAAAAAAAAAAACTGGGAAATTGATCTTGTACTTCTTTGTCAGACTATTCCGAAAGAAAGCACTAAAATTTAAAATCAAAGTCTTCTAGGGCATGGGGGTTATTAGTTCTTTATTTATCCAGGTAAAAATCTCATTGAGATTAATCATCTCATTTCCAAGAGAGACATCATGGCAGCAAGAGTTAAACACATGTACCACATAACTACAAAACTCCTTAAAAACCAAATACAATATTCTGTACAAACATGTAAAAATATACAACAATGATTTAGAGGAATAGTTAAAAACCAACCACACCAACTAAGAATTATTCTCCACTTTAAGATAGACTTAAAGTTCCAAGGAAATCAATGTTAGATGCAAAGGACAGAAAAAAAAAAGTGCCTTTATGAAAGTGTGTGAAAGGGTGGATGAGATAAAGTATGAAGTGCTTTGAATGCCCAAGTGCAGTAGAAAAGCAAACACTTATTTTCATAAATGTTCTGTATTTTGTTAGTATTTGAGCACATCTTCAAAGACCAATGCTGTAACATTTAACCAGGGCTGTGCAGGGGCAGGTGCTCAAAATTAAAAAGGAGTTCATAGAACCAGGCTGAATAACAACAACCCACATTCATCAAGAATCTAAAATAATATAGAATTGCATCATACCATCACTCATCAGGTGGGGACAATGCAAAGCAAACAAAGCCTATATTTTACCTGATGGGGTAAAATGTTACTGCTTCTGATCGTGCTGAGGGCAGGGCTGTGTTGATCTGAGACTGTAGACATCAAGTCCAGAGGAGAAATGCTAGCTGATTAAAGTAGTGTTATGAAATAATACAACGCAAAGATTGGTGACAGCTCTTGGAACCATAGGGCAACAGATTTAAAAACTGGGAAATAAACTGAAACTGTAGAGATCCGTGGAGATACAAGTTTGCTGCAGAGAAAAAACAAACAAACAAAAAACCCAAAAAAAACAAAACACACAAAAGGGCATTGTCATATTTGAAATATAAAACGAATGCAATCGGTTTCTTAATGCATTCTTGAAAATACAGTGCGTTTTTGACTATTATAAAAACGCATAATTATGTGGATATACAATCACTTTAGTAAAATATAAATTAACTATTGCTCATGACCACTAAACCGGAGCAGAATAAAATATTAAATCGTATCCTTGTAATTGACAATGAGTTTATTAAACTGAATTAGTTTAATCTCACAATTTCAAAATACTAAAGGAAAATAATGAAAATTATCGGTGTTCTCCAATAAACTACTCATGTTGGTAAAGTTCTCTCCCGATGCCTTCAGGGTCACACGGACAAATTACAATCAGTTGTTACAGGGATTAATTACCAACCACAGCCTCTTAGTGTGGCGGCGTGAAGGAGGAAATCCGGTAAAGGTAACTAAATGGTACTGATAACGCCACCTGCATGGTGTTTGTGAACGCAGCATGAACATTCACCCCTCCCTTAGCTCTTTAATCGGAGGCTGGTTATAAGGAGCAGCTGTGGCCTACTCCTCACACCCCAGAAGAGATTCCATTAGCCAGTCCAAAGTTTTAAAAGGCTACAAAAGGCACGCAGGCTCCTTATTAACAAGGAAGAGGCGTGGTAAACAATGTCATAAAACAAGATGTATTAAACAAAATAACTGCAAATATAGAGCTGCAGAAAAGAAAACTGCAAATTAAAAAGCAAGACGTACAATACCAGACCTTTAATTAACACACTTTATTAACAAACATTACTTAAAACAGCAAGGTTCGCTGGCACTATGTTGCCCTAGTTAAAATAGCAGCTCAATAAAATAGTTAATCAAATATGGTGGAGACAGGCTAATTGGGGAGGCAACCTAATGGCACACACAGCAAGATTAAAACATAATAAAAAGTTAAAACTAAAACACCAAAAAACACAAATAACCAATCGATGCCAGTCAACACGACAGCAACAACAAAAAAGCAGTAGCAGTTGGCCGGGGTCCACCCTACTATAAACCAAATTGCAGAGAACCTATGAGGATCCTACTCACCACCCTTCAACAGTTACACAGCTTAAACAGTTGCTAGGGGAAATGAATCCGAGCTGCAATGCTTATAGACAACCTGTGATTATCGCCACCTACAACAGGAAAGAGAGGGTGCCAAGTGTCAGGAGGAGTCAGGAGTAGGCCACAGCTGCTCCTTATAACCAGCCTCCGATTATGCTGCGTTCACAAACACCATGCATGAACAAAACATCTCCTACAAAACATTACCCACGGCATTAGGGTAGCTTGAGAAGGTGATATCGGCCTGCGCATCCAATTAGCATTCGCCCACGTTATGTTTTATCCGTGTAAAAGACAACGAAAATTTTTAGCGTCAGATTTTTAAATCCCAGAGTTTGTCCGAGGGCCCTCCTCCGTCGTCGCAGGACTGTACCGTTACAACGACGGGAA